TATACTTTATTATTAAAAACTGATGGTCTTTATGCTGTTAAGCATTATGAAATATTGCATCAAAATAGAAGAAAACACAATTTTGGGTATTGCTGCCATGATGACCATCATGGGAAAACCATATTACTTATGATTGTTAAACTTTTAAAAAAGAAACACAGGACTAAAATGCAGCTCGAGTTGGAAATGCAGTCTAATTGACTTCTTTTTCTGGAAGTTTTACATTTTCAAAGTGTGAACTCAAACTCCCATGGGCCTGAAGCCTTATGCTTGTTACACATTTTACTTACATTGGTATTACCTGTTGAGCATAATTAAAATTTGATGTTGAATTTGTAGTTTAACATAATGTACTTTTACATCAGAATTGACAGTAGCCTATTTTGTTATTTCCTGCTTTTTGTCTGTACATTTGACAGCTTTGCTGCCTTGTTTAAAAATTTTGATCAGAAGTCAAAATACAAATCAATGCTTGTAAAGAGTTTTGTTATCAATACAAGTGAAAACGTATATTTGTTGGTGATATAATTCCCTGCTGTGACCGACCTATAATTAATTGTTGATACTGATATTAATAACCCGGAAGCTCAGTAAAATTTTAATTTTGCAAAAACTTGCAAGAGTTACGGTAGCAAGGAATTCATATGTTTGCATTACTATTTACAGTTTCTAATATGTACTAGCTGTGTTGTTTTAATAATATGATTCCATTGGTAAAACATGGCAGTGACACGAGGTCTCTTAAGTAGTTTTTATTTCAATAAACTTATCACCATGACTGTATGGTGGAACTAAAATATATGTATTTGTAGGAACACAAGACAAAAGAGCTACAGTATGGCATCAGGAAAGATGTTGCAAGAACAGCTGAAGGCACTCAGGAATTGTGTAACCAATAACCAAGTAGAATTGGTGAAAAACTTGAATGTGGACGTTCTTCTGTTGTCTTCTTTGCAAGAACAATCTCTTCTGACACAATATCAAATTGCTGTAATAAAGGTAGAGTAATCAATTTATTGTTATATTAAAAAGCTTGTACAGTAGTTTGTTTCTTTGTTTTTTGCTTTTACTGGAAGGGGGAAGGGCACATGTGTGGGGTTTACTTGCTTCCAACTAGATTTTTACTTCCAAGTTTTCCACCAGATGCCAGCTGAGTGATGATTTCAACTCTGCAAACATTCTCTCTAAACCTCTGTATTGAGATACCAGATGGAACCAGTTTAGTAACTCCTCTTGCTAAAGTTCAGCCACCCACCTGACCTAGGGGTTTCCCAAAACCACTACGTGTGTGTGTGATGGAAGGGGGGGGGGGGCATAGGGACTGTTCACAATATATTTTATCGGCTTAATGCCAATGCACCAGGACTTGCTGACTACAATCAGTTTTAACAGACTGACATGCCTCCTCTTGTTAACAGCGTACTCACATAATCACCAGCTTTGATTTATGATGTTGTTGTGTTACATTTGCATGGAGTAAAGCCCCCTTTACACTGGACGGCGTCCTTTCTGCGTCCAGCAGTACGGCCCCATTTGAGAGTTAAAAAATTATAATACTTTTCATGCCGACAACTGGCCGATCACTGAGCATTCATTCTGCTACAAAATCAATGCTCGTGCCTCCTTATTAAGACCACAGCGATGCCAAATTTCATGGTCGCAGAAAGGACGCTGTCCAGTGTAAAGGGGGTATTAGTGTGCAGTAGTAGTGGTCCTTCAAATACTAGTATATCATACACTAGAGTAAGTAGTTAAGATCAGAGCAATTAATTGACTTGATCACCTGCCAAGAGATTGGTCAGGGACTAGTTAAGTGTCAGTGCCTGAGCAGTTGGTAATAAAGGACTCCGAAGAAAATCAGACATGCTGAAAAATTTTCAGAATGGCCAGACATTTGGACTGGCAGTAATGAAAAATTTGCCGGACCGAATGGATTTTTGTCAGGCCGAAAATCACCCTATTTGTTCGAGACAGATACTACCAGTACGTTTAGGTAGCTTACTTTGTTTGTGGATGTGATAGGTTTTAAATGGATGGGAAAAACACTTTGGGTTTTTTATAATTTTATTGGTGAATTATGTCTAATGATGAATGTAAATTCAAAATTGTGGTTCTTAAAACTCTTGTCAGTCCTTTAGACTGACCAAGTCCAATTTTTTACCCGTCCAAAAAAATGCTTGGTCATGACCGATCGGACTGACAGTTTCAGCAAGTCTGGAAGATAGATTATGCTAGAAATGTAATGTAATGTGGCTTCAAATGGTGTAAGACACAAAGCTGTTCATTTTTAGCTAGATATATATGGGAGCTGAGACATGGGTGCGAAGTAGAAGCAGATTTTCCAACAGCATGGTAAGACAATGTCTGTACATATAGCCATCACCTGCGTCTTTTGTTGCTGTTGTGGAAAACCATTGTTCTTTTTGGCTTGAAACTTACAGAACTGATGAATATCCATTATACACATTATACGGTAATGGATAATAAATTTTGAACTCTGGAAAAATAAGACATAAGGCTTGGCAAAGCAGACAACTTGTGTTCAAAAATGACATTATTTCATCAAATTTGAACTTCAGAAACTTCAGAGCACCTCCTATTTCAAGAATTTTGACCAAAATGACATTTTCTTTATTTTAATTATTTTTTTCTGTACGAAATTTAAGGCACATTATGGTAACTCCAAAATTATAACATCTAGTCCCTTAACTGGCAGAGATAGGACCATAGTTACTATTGAAGTTGAATAGGAAGTCATATACTGGCAATCTT